GGGGGGGGGGAGTTATGGGGGTGCAGGGGTGCCCGCTTGGCTACCTTCCTGGCACTGGAGTGATGGTGGCTCCGGGCAGAAGAAGGTGTGGCTCTCCTTCCTGCAGTGGATCCAGGCCCAGGCTACCTTCCTGGTGCTGGAGCGATGGTGGATCCGGGCGGGAGAAGCTCAGATTTTTTTTAAAAGGAGATAATTAAGCATATGGAATGGAGTAACAGTGATTGCACATGCCAAAACTGTATGTGTGGCTAAAACCGAGGGTGCACTTAGAAGGCAATGTGTAGTTGTACTCATACATACTATTAGATAAGAAGAGAGAGGAAAAGCCAATGAGTGAAGAGTCTAAATGAAGATGAAAAACTGAATAAAACAATATGATAAAAATCTAGGCCTAAAAAAGGGTATCAACTTTAGAAAAAAGTTACATCATGAAGGGCTGAGAGACTGGAATAGAGATAGCTACATTGTAGCATTTTATTTCCTTGGGCAAAAACATATATTTTTGTACATATAAATTATGTTATGTCATAACTTTACATATATATAATTCATATACTATACAGTTCCCTCATTTAAAGGGAACTCGTCCTTCGTTTTTAACATATTCACAAAATTGTGCAATTAGCATAACCCTCAGCCCCTTCCACACACCACTAATGTGCTTCCTAGATGCACTTCTTCAAGATATTTCATATAAATAAAACTATGTAATATTTGACCTTTTGTAATTAGATTCTTCTGCTTAGCACAGACTTTTCAAGGTTCATTTTATAGCATTATCAGTGCTTCATTCTTTTTATGGTGGTGTTTTAGTGAAGGACCACACCACATTTTTTGTTCACTTATCAGTTAAGATATTTGTATTACTTCCACTTTGGGCTATTATGAATTTGCATATAAGTTTTTGTGTGGACATGTGTTTCCATTTCTCTTTGATATATCCCTAGGAATAAAAACTGCTGAATCAAATGGAAATTCCATAATTAACTTTTTTGAGGAATTGCCAAACCAGGTTCCAAAATGGTTGTACCACTTTATATTCACACTAGCAAGGTGTGGGGGTTCTAATTTAGCTACCTCCTTATACTTGTTAGTATCTGACTTTTTAGGATCATTGTTTTACTTGGTGTGCAGCGGTTTTGATTTGCATTTGCCTAGTAATAAGTGATATAGAGCTTCTTTTCATGTGCTTATTGGCCATTTGTGTATCTGTGTGTGTGTGTGTGTGTGTGTGAGTTGTGTTTCTAGTATGTAGTATTCTGCATATCAATCCCTACTCCTGTATGTGACTTGCAAATATTTTCTCCCACTACCCAAACTGCCTTCTTGCTCTGTCGGTCATGTCCTTTTCTTTTTTCTTTTCTTGCATGTGCCTTCCCTGTCATATCCAAGAAATTGTTGCCAAATCCTGCCACCAACTTTTAAACACCCAGACCTTGGCATTTGAATGAATGATTGAGTGAATGATTTAAAGAATTTTGAAGTCAGTTGTTTCTATTCAACAATTTACTTTTACAATTATGGAAGATTTTCGTAATTATCCATCCAATGCCAATTTTCTTTTGTGTCTTTATTTTCCTGATTATTGCCAAATGCATTAGACTGTAAATAGAAAGCATGGAAATAGCATATTCTATTGTGATACAGTTGTTCCCCATGAGGAATAGTGATCAAAATTATTGCCAAGTACCTTTATTAAGAAAAGACAATTCTTAGCTGATTAAAGAGCATGGATATCATATATCAACTGTAAAATTATTTAACTTTCCTGATTCATTTTTAAAATGCTGAATTTCACTTCAGTTTGTGTAATAGAGCTTTAAAACTTCAAAGACTTTATGCATTCTCAAAAGAATTTCTCATGCTTATGATATTCATTTGAAATTAAAATGGCTCTTTGCTATGTGAAGCTAGCTAAAAGTTATGTACTCTAGAATAAAAGGGGAACAGCCCTTGTATTATTGCTAATTTATACTGACACAAGATACAGCTTTGTACTTAGATGGAAGCAAATGTACTTCTTTTGAAGTCATCGAGTAATTCATGGGCTATCTATGCAAAACATCTTGAGCAGCATATAAGAACTTATTTTTTTAAGCTTTGTGGTCCATGTTTAAGCCACCATATATTTTTTTCAAGCTAGTTTTTACTAAACCTCTAAACTGTGCAGTACATGATGTAGAAGACTCAATAGAAATATAACACTTGGTTCTCCCCCCTCAGAGACTCTGGCTTCTATGTTACAATGTCAAATGTGAAATAAGGGCTACTTAGCAAGGAGCCTTAAGAAAGCAACGGTGGGTTGTGTGATTCTGAGAAGGCCTCGGGGAGGTGCAGCTGTCTGCCAGGATGGTGAGGCCTGAGTAGAGTGGGCTGAGGCAGGGAGCTGCACATCTAGGAAAGCAGTGCCCCATCTGACCGAGGGTGGAGTGTGCCAGATACCTGAGGCAGAAGAAGCTCATCCTTGTGCCTTGAACATTTGGTGGACAGGGGAAGACGGACCGCAGGAGCTAGCATAGTGTTTCATATGTGATAGTTGGTTGCAGAGAGTTGTGGCTTCTCGACAAGGGGAGCTGTAAGAAAATATAGTGGAGGGCCTACCACTTTGGAGGTAACGGGGGTTTGGAAAACACTGAATCGATGTCCTCTTTTTACTGGGGCCAGGGAAGTAAAAAAACTTGTTCAAGTTCACCCAGTTAGAAAACTGTAGATTTATATCTCAGATTATCCTTTAACTCTAAGTCCACGATCTTTCTCTCATACCACAGTCCTTCAGAAAAAATTAAGAGAGAAGAAAATGGACAGAAAGGATACATAAGAAGCATGTTGATTGGGAAGGGATCAGAAACTTGTGACTATTTTGTGTGTATGTGTATGTGTTTGTGAGTGTTTGTGTTTATGGTACTAAGGGTTGAACCCAGGGAGTGCAGGGCTCCACTCCCAGACTTTTTTATTTTTTTAATTTTGAGAGAGGGTCTTGCTAAGGCCTCAAACGTGTCTTCCTGCTTCCTACCAAGTAATTGGGATTACAAGCATGTGCCACTGTGCCCAGCAGATTATCTTCTTTATTTTAGTGAATGAGGCAGAAAAATAAATACCTAGAGAATTCCATAAAGGACCAAGTTATTTTTCAATAAAGATCTTACAAGTACTATTTACAGCACTATTTAAAGAAAATGTCTTTTTAACAGATTCACCTTTTTGGAGCTTTGCTGGCCATTTTAGGAAACCTGATAATCAGCATTTCCTTAAATATTCAGGTAAGAAAAAAAAACTTTATTTTTCTAGCTCTGTAATTTTATCCAAGGATATGTTTTTCTCCATTAGAAAAAAGATATATTTTATGACCATTTGGATACAGAGACAAATATAATCCAGGCTAGATTACATTTATTTTTTATTTCAAAACAAATTAATTTTTTTCTTTTTGGACTCTTGCAGTATTGTGGATTCTAGGCAAGGAGCCTACTATATCTAATGAATTAACCACCTGACTTGATTTTCAGCTTTTGTGATTCCTTTTATAGGGTTACACCCAGATGGGACACAAAAAAATGTTAAAGCATTTTATAGAGGTGCAGTATTTTTTCTTTTTGTTAAATTTGTTATATTAAATATATCTGTGTAGACTAAAGATCTTGAAAAAAGAATATAAAATATAAAATACTAACTTTAACTGAAATGAAATAGAAAACTGGAAGATGGCTGATTTGCTAAACTAAAAGCTGAACAAAATACTAATTTTAAACCCAACTTTGAAATTAAAAAAAAAATGTTTTTAATTATCTAATGAATGCATTTGAAACAAAATCGAACAATGCAGTTTCTGAAACTACAAAATAAAAATTAACTTGAGCATCAAAATACCTTCCAGAATGTTACATACTTTTATACAAAACCTTGCTAGAAAATTACCTATTATAATTTTCAATAACTACTAAGAAATACAGAAATCAATCAATAATCTTATTGTGTTAGTCAAATTTTTGTCTCTGTGACAAAATATCTGAGAAAATCAACTAAAAAATGGTTTATATGGTCTCATGGTTGCAGAGGTTTAAGTCCATGATTGCTTGGCCCTGTCACTCTGTGCCCGTGGTGGCCCGGTACATCATGGTGGGATTGCATTGAGGAGAAAGCCTGCTCGCCTCACAGTGGCCAGGAAGTAGAAAGAGAGAAAGGGGCAAAGTCCCAACGTCCCCTTTGACAGCACAGCCCCAGGGACCTCACTTCCCCCAAGTAAGCCCTGCCCTTTAAAGGCTCTGCCACCTTCCAGTGGCACCGAAGGCTGACAACCGAGCCTGCAACACACTAGCCTTTGGGGGTATTTCAGACCCAAACTATACCATTTATAAAAAATATTCCAGAATGCAAAAGGAAAAAGTGACATTCCCCTCATTGTTCAGAAGTAACACTATTAACTATGTATTTTTTCCAAATCAGTAACTAAGTATGAGCGACACACATATGATTGGGTGGATGTTACAAAATGCATATAACCATCCTGTAGGTAGGACATAAAGAGGGTGTTTTGCTATTATGAATAATAACAAGATGACTGTCTTTCTGTATATATTATACCTTAAATATGTGTGTAAATATTCTGTAGGCCAAAGGATGTATTCATTTTAAGTGTCACAGGACCAGAGAAACTGATCTACATGGCTTTATCATATTCATGTTACACTTACACAGCAGTTTGGCCATGACTCTTCTGAATGTTCTCAGTGCATATATCATTAATTATTTGATAAGGGCAAGAAAACATATCTGATAAGTGAAAGTGGTATTATATTTCATTGTTTCCTTTGTTTGCATTTCTCTGATTACTCGTGGGGTTAAGAGTCTTTTCTCAGTTGTAATTGTACTTTTATAAATTACTATGTCATAGCCTATGCATGGTATCTCTTGGATTCTCTGTCCTATCTCTTTATAGGAATTCTCTTCATATTTATATTAACACTTTGTCATTATATGTGTTGCAAATGTTTTTCCTCATTCAACTCTATTGTCTGTGCCTTTGTTTTGTTCATATCTTTTATGTACAGAAGATTTTTTCAGTACAGTAAAATATTTGCTTTTCTGGCTTATGAATTTTGTATCACATTCGAAAGGTGCTCCCGGGCCAGAGATTTAGCTCAGTAGTGCTCCCACCTGCCTCACAAGTGCAGGGTCCTGAGTTCAAATCCCAGTACCAAAAAAGAAAGAAAGGTGTGCCTTATGCCAAATTTTTTTTAATGCTCCATGTTTTCTTCTAATACTGTTAAATTTTCTTTTTAAAAGTTTTGAGTAGGGCTGGGGATTGAGCTCAGCAGCACTGTGCCTGCTTCACAAGCACAAGGTCCTGAGTTCAATCCCCAGTACCAAAAAAAAAGCTTTACATAATCTAGAATTGCACAAAATTCTTATAAAGAAGTATTCTTAGAGAAAATGTCTTTATCTAATTATCAGTTTTTTAGGAATTTATATGTTTGTTTTGTTTTTGCAGTGTTTGGAATTGAACCCAGGTTTTTGTGCGTGCTAGACAAGCACTCTAACACTGAGCTACATCCCTAGCCCATGATATGTATTTTTTAAAAATAAAGAAATATTCAAGTCAGATTTTAAAAATCAAACTGCCTCAGCCACCCTAATTCCCTGTTACCAAACTATTCTTTATTCTGCTATGTTAATTGTGGTAGTTACAAAATCCCTTTCAAAATGTTTTTTAAGAATTTACTGTCCTTATTTTATTAATATAATTTTAATACCTGGACTTATTTGACATTGCCAAAGAATGGCATAGCATTCTAAAAAGTTCCTTAACTTTTTAACACGCACCTCCTCCTTTTGTTTGTTTGTTTGGTTTGGTTTTTATGTTTTGACACAGGGTCTCATTATGTAGTTCAGGCTGATCTTGACCTTACTGTGAAGCCCAGGCTGGCCTCAAACTCATAGTATCCTCCTGCCTCAGCCTCCTGAGTGCTCAGATGACACGTGTACACCACCTGTTTGGCACACCTTCTCTTTAATTAGTAATAATAGAACCTTGTTTACAGAATTATTATGAGAATAAAGCAATGTGCATATACCAAAAGGCCCTTCAAACTGTAAAATGCTGTATAAATATGTATGCTTCTGCTGTTAACGTGTTTGGGATAAATAGGAACTCATAATAACTTCTCTATAATAATCTGCAGATAATCTTAAAAGCCATGATGCAAATTTATGAAACGCAAACTTTCAAAGCAAGTTTGAACTGGGTAGACGTGTTTTCTTACTCACAATCCGATTTATTTCCAGAAATATTCCCATGTTCAGCTGGCGCACCAAGAGCACCCGAGACCGTACTTCAAGAGCGTGCTTTGGTGGGTGGGAGTTCTGCTGATGGTGGTGGGAGAAACCGGGAACTTCGCAGCCTACGGCTTCGCACCCATTACCGTCATCGCGCCGTTGGGCTGTGTGTCTGTTGCAGGTGGGCCGTTTTCCTGTTTTGACAAAGGGAAATGTTATGAGATCAGAATGATTGGCAAACAACGTACAACACAGAAAAGACAATCTGTCTCCTGTTTTCTTAGCAAGTTCACCTAGACTTGTGCTTCTGATTTCAGTTCTCCCATCCTTTTTCCGCATTCACCACGAAGAAACCTGCATTTCATAGCTTCTCTGCTAACATTGAAAAGCCTGAATCTTAACAAGTTAACACTAACTGAAAATGTTACACTTGTGTTTTTAATCACTGATGGATTATCTAAAAGCATTTCTAATGCAGTTATATTTCATTTATATGTTAAACTGACACTAAATATAGTTAGTCTTTGGTGTCAGATCGTGACTCTATAGTTCAGCACCTCTTTGACATTAAAAATTAAATATTGGTTATTCTACATTACCATAAGAATGTGCAATTTTACAGTAATGTTACAATTATGCACTTTCAAAATCTGTATGGTTTACTAAATACATTTAGAAAAGAGTAAAATGAGATGTTGCTAAAGACTTTTAAAAAAAGCAAAAATCACTACTAAAAAGGAGAACAGATCCCTAAGCCTTGTTAAAAATCAATAAATTTTTTTTGTTTTACTAAAGAGCATCTAAAGAGTATCTGCTGCTATGGAAACAGCATGTTTCTAAATTTCTTTGACTTTAGAACCTTCATTGAAATAGTGTAAACAACTAGATCAAGCATACCATGTGTTCATATAGCTCAGTTTTCATATGTCTCCTAAAGTGATGTACTATTCTTAAAGAAAGCATAGCTTGAATTGAAATAATATATATTAAAAGAGAATTTCATCATTTTGGAAGTAGTTTCCCATCCTTAATCTTTTAAAATGTCTTAAAATACTTTCATAATGTACAAAAGTAGAATATTTGCCAAAACACTTACTTTGCTTTCTAGAAATTTAGTTAAAATCCCTGTACTGATCCTACCCTGAAGAGGCAAAAATTTATGTAATAATTTGCCATTTTTAACATCCCAGTAAAACAACCAAATTGTGTATATCTTACCTCCTGTTTATTGCATACAACACCTTCATGGGCCTTCTAGGCTTTTTTGATTCTCCAAATATAAGAAATAACAGATAAAAGATCTTGTCAGATTGTCAACCTGGAACTTTTCTAATTGTTCTGAAAATGTTATATTATTCTTCTGATTGATTGCATTTAGTGCAGGACTTTTAGTTTTGTTTCTTAGCCTGTTTAATGCTCGGTCTCCATGAAACAGCTAAAGAAAAGTGTCCAGGCGTATATACCTGGGGAAGGTGGGGTGCACCATGTTGTACTGAAATTCATTTCAGGCCTGTCTCCTAGAAACCCCCTTTGGTGGTATGGGGTGGTAGGGGCGGGGAGGGCTGAGAATTCAGAAGCTGGCAGGACTGAGCATCAGCCCCCCGTGACACTGTCTGTGAATTTGCTCTCCTGCCATGGCTTCCTGAAGGTCTCATTAATAAGCGGAAGCTTAAGTTTTCTAACCTTTCCCTCAGAGTGTCTTGTTTTTCCAGTCTTCTGTGGGGCCAGTTCTCCACCCCACACTTTGAACCCCTGCCTCGACAGATGGGCTTTTTTGAAGGCTGCAGGTCATTTTGTTTGAGTGCTCTTAACCCCAATTAATATTTCAACTGTAGAATTTAGCCACCTCCTTCTCAAAACACTTAAAATGATCCGAAGAAATTAGCTTTTAATCTTCCAACACAAATTGTGTCCTTTACAGTCTTTGAGGACAGTAATGGCACTCCCAAAGCACCCCAGAGTGGAGCAAGCAGTTCTAACCAAGGGTCATGATGGTAAGGGCCTGCTGGAGATGGAGGATTCCCAAGGACAAACCCCGCTACCGCGATGCCTTTCTAAAGATTCCCAAAGCTTTTGGTAACTTTTAAGTATTTTCAAAACAAATGTCTCTGTCTCTGCCTACAGGTAGGCAGAAAGAACAGCGCCCATACTTTTCTACCCTCCTCCCCCATCATTCCTTGGGAATTATAAAAAAAAAATCAAACTCCCTTTGAATTAAAATAAAATATAATATCTGCTGCAATTTTGTATGGGAAATTGCATATTTGTTTCTGATCTTTCCATTTATGTCTTTTGCTTTTCAAATTTAAAAAAAGACACTTAAAATCCAGAATACTTTTTAAAGTTTTAGATCTTAAGTCCAAGTGAAAGATACTTTTCTCTACCTTTCTCTCTGTCTCTTTAGGTAGTCTAATCACCCCAAAACACTGTGCTCCTTTTTCCTTTCTAGGACTAAGGAAAGTGTAGAATAAACACAAGCATTAGTTTTATCTCACGTAACAATTGCTAATATGTCAGATCTGCTACTTGGTCTTGTATAATCAAATTCCTTCTTTTGTACATATCAACTGAACAAAAGTGTGTGTGTGTGTGTGTGTGTGTGTGTGTGTTATACACATATGTACATAATGCATAAGTAAAATACAAATATCTTGGATACTCATCTCAGGACTGGTACAGAAGAAGCACTATAGTAAGGATTATGGGCATTTCAGCTTGCTTTCTCCTCCTGACTTCCTTTCTAAGCCATCACTTTTTCTATCCTTCCTTGCCCTGTGTGTTCTTGTTATTCACTGACATGCCCTCTCAAGCAGCATATCTTTTAACATTGGTTTTACAAGCCAATTCATAGGTACTCTGAGAAGCAAAGAATTCCACATTGCTGAGGGTTCTGTGGTTTGGAGTTTTGGAATGCTCCATAGCTTTCAGTAGTGTGGGCTTCTTAGCGTCTGGGGAGAGATCCATCCACTGTGAATCTTTCCAGGCAACTGCAGTAAAACCAGTCTCCAAACCTACCAACCATCGGTGCTTTTATATGGACCATCTCAAGAAACAGCAGTCTTTGCAGTCCTCACGAGCAGTCACATCCTGCCAGAGACTCAGCCTGAGTAAGCCAAGCATTGGAGACGATGCAATGGGAAGGATCTGAGTGCACAGGCAGCTCTGAGTGCCCAGGCCTGGCTCCAGATGTTTGAAAGAGTGTTGGAGCCTTTTTATCCTAATATCATCACTTTACTCTTCTCCCCACAGATCTTTCTTAATGGTCCTGGAGCTTACATGAACTGACGTGGCCAGTTGTACCAGCAGTGTGGTTGATTCTAGATGTTGATTTGTGTTTCCATTAATTAGGAAAGCTTGCTTGTTTCCAGTTTCGCTTAGAGCCCGCGCTGGCTGTCAGCCCAGTAAGTCAGGCAGTAGAATGGTCAACAGCAGATGCTCGCTCCAGGACACGTGGCCAGGGATCGGATCTCAGTTCTGCCCTGGCAAGCTCAGTGACCTCCTGCAGGTTATCTAAACCCACTTAAGCCTAAGATTGCCAATCTGTAAAGCGGGAATAAACCAGTTCCCACTTCAGAGGTTGCGGTGAAGAACTGAGTAAACACAACCACCTAAGGGCTAGATTTGACATATGACGACACAGGCTATGGTCGCTGTGATTTATGGTCATTATCACTATTACCCAAAAATGGAATACATTACAACAGAGTTTACTCCCATACCCCAAAGATGGCCAATGGTTAAATTCTCTAAAATGGGCGAACCATTTTCCTTATCTGTGCAGTGGTTAATTTACAGGAACAGAAATGTAGGATCATCTCAGCTCATTTGCTCAGCCATTAAACAGCAATTACCCCTAAATCCCTCCACATTTTCCTACTGAATCACACTGAGGAAAATATCAGAATTTCCAAGTAACAAACCAAGATGACCCCATTTTAAGAAACAGGATCAGTAGTTTGCAGGAGGCAAAGCATAGCGAGCTAGATGTGTGCAAAAGGCCATCGTGATCTGGCTGCACAGCACTTCTGTGTGCTTGAAGATTCGCTGCAGAAGCTAACTGCAGAATTTCTTCAGAGCCAACTGTGATTTGAGAATGTTTTTTGAAGAAACTGTCTATGTAAGTTAGATATTCTGTGACATTTGTGATAAAATTTGAAACTGCCCATCCTTCTGGTCTAGATAAGCCCTCTCCCTGAGAAGGCCTTTCCTGGCCTCCACAGAGATTAAACAGCCTGATATCTCAGCTCTCTTCAAACCCAACACAGGCCCTCACACCTGTGTGGTGTCATTTTGTGAATTCGAAAAGATGGCCCTTCCTTGTAACTCATGCTTTGTTTCTGTCCATCTTTAAATTACTGTAATACATTGATTTTAGTTTTACAGGAAACTGGTGCCATCTGTCAGAAAACTGTCCTGAAAAACATAACAATCGATGAGGTCTGGGGGGCAAGTGGAGCCCTCTGGCGCCACACGCAGCACACCACAGTGGCCCTGACAGGTCCTCCCGCTCAGCAACACCCGTCCTGCTCACGATGACCTTTTAACATCCATCCTCAAGGTTCACTGAGACCCAGGGGGCTGTGTGTGTCTCCTCGCTTGACATCTCTGTCCTGCAGGGAGCGGCACAGGGAAACCACAGAGCACAGCCTATCTAATTGGGCCGAAGTTTGAATTTTAATAGGATGTTCTGTTATGGAATATTGGAAGAGAAAAATGCTCGCTTAAAGATTGCAATTCTGGATGAAGCACGCTGATTAAACAGTTCACTGCAAGGCACTCTTGAATATTCACTCAGAGTTTCTAAGCCTGTCCCTGGGGCGTTGGGCTCTATTGTGTATGAATCTACAAAGTGTGGCCTAACATTTAATGTTTTTTGTGTATCCCAGTGGCTGCGATCAAACATGCATAAACACTTAGAGACAATTAAGAACAATGACGTTATCAACAACCCAAAGAACTGAAGCTGTGTGGATTAAAGAAGACACGCAGTATAATATGAACTTGCCTCGGTGGCAAGGAAGTGGAAATAGAGGGAGATTGCTGCAGGAGTTGGGAAGGAGACAGGAAGCGTCAATGCCATCTTTTGGTTCTGTGCCTCTGAGTGCAAGGATTGAAAGTGTTCAGGGGGAAAGCATTCAGAGAGTATATATCGTCCTTTTCCAAGTTAAATGCTGGTAATAT